TACTTGAGCATCGGAGATGATTGCTGGAAGAACTGATGCAGCGAGAAAGGCCAGATGTTAAAGATACTTGAGGGCTGCTGGGTGATTTAGTGCCCTTCAGGTTGTGGCTAATGAACTAGATGTTGTCGCCAGAAGGATCAAAACAAGAAAAATATAACATTGGACTTTAGAAGCAGCCACCAAGCATGCTCTCTTCCCTCCGAAAGCTGGATACGATCCCTTATCCCATCACGCATAGGGAAAGGAAGAGTAATCCATATGAAGGATTGATAGAGGTGACGGGATTTCTCCAATAAACGGATAGCAAGGATGGAGATCAAGAGGAGAGCTGGGATGTGACAGATGCTTCACAATCTGGGACGCATATGGCCTGATTGGCAATAATACAGGGGTTGAGATGATATCTGGGCATCTTCTATGCACATAACAGCAGAAATTAATCTTCAGGTCATGCTCTCAACTTTCAGCAGGCAGGGACTTTGGTGTGCTGTCTCGCGCCTAGATTTGAGGAGACGTTTCTGTTGTGGCCCGCCAGTGGCCAGCAGAGCTGGCAGCTGACTCGGACAATGAGGAGGGTAGGGAGGAACATGGGCCAGTCCTGGAGTCTGGAGAAGGCTCTGTGTCGGAGGCAGAGAGTGGGCCAGGGCCGCCTGACAGTTATCAGCTGCCTTCAGAGTCAGACATCAGTGAAGCAGATGAACAGCTGGAGCCTGTTCCCAGTGTGCNCTCCTATCAGGCTTTATTTTCCTCTTGAGGATTTAAAATGTAATTTGTTTCTAAGCGGTGCGTGTCTATAGAAATAGTGGGGAAATCCGATTTCAGTCATTGTTGAATTAGGCAAAGATATTATATGGCGCTGTTCCTGCTAAGCATTTTTTTTTTAAAGAAAGTGATGCACCATCAAAAGTGATTTGAAGAACGGTTGAAATCTTTTCCCATTTTCGTTCGGACTTTTCTGATCCTCTCCCCAAATAATTGTAAATTATTTAGAATTTTTCCCAAGGATTCAAAGCTGCAAACTCAAAAAAGAAGGAAAGGAAAGGAAAAAAAACAACAATGCAAATTGTGCACCTCCACACTTGATGGCGAATACAAATTGAAATTTTAAGTTGTTGGCAAGCAAGGGAAGAGCAGGACATGAAATAAGACAGCAATTTTTTTTTTGTCTTATAAAAAGAAGTGAAAAGAAGGACAAGGGGTGACATGATAGCAGTCTTCCAATATTTATGGGGTTGCCACAAAGAAGAGGGAATCAAGCTGTTCTCCAAAGCACCTGAGGGCAGGACAAGAAGCAATGGGTGGAAACTTATCAAGGAGAGAAGCAACTTAGAAATGAGGAGGAATTTCCTGACAGTTAAAATAATTAATCAGTGGAACAGAAGTTGCCTCCAGAAGTTGTGAATGCTCCAACACTGGAAGTTTTCAAGGAGAGATTGGATATCCATTTGTCTGAAGTGGTGTAGGGTTTCCTACCTAAGCAGTAAGTTGGATTAAAGACCTCCAAGATCCCTTCCAGCTCTGTTACTCTTATTATTCCGTCTTATTTGCGTTTATCCCCCTCCCCACGTTCAATCGTGTCTAATTCTCAACACTTCCTGGATAAGTCCCTGCAGTTTTCTTGGCAAGGCTTTTCAGAAATAGTTTGCCATTGCCTTTTTCCTAGGGTTCAGAAAAAATGACTGGCCAATTTGTACCCTCCATCAAGGGTGGAGGTGCACAATTTGCATTGTTTTTTCCCCCCTTTCCTTTCCTTCTTTTTGAGTTTGCAGCTTTGAATCCTTGGAAAAATTTTAAATAATTTACAACGGTGAGGGGAGAGGATCAGAAAAGTCCGAACGGAAATGGGAAAAGATGTCAACCGTTCTTCAAACCACTTTTGATGGTGCATCACTTTCTTTAAAAAAGGCAGGGCAGGAATTTACAATCTCTCTTAACCATGACGCTAGTCTGGTGCTCTGTTTATAATTGCACACTCTTAAATCCTTTATGGAATTACCTTTGTAATCCAACCTTTCTACACACCAGCAATTCTTACTGATGCTTTTTAATGTTTTAATATGAAAGAGGAATAAGTGGTAACGGAAGCCCTTTTATGTCCAAACAGAACTTCCCCTTATGTTGTTATTTGCTAAGGTGTGTCCATTGCAACCCCATGGACAACGTTCCTCCAGGCCTTTCTGTCTTCTACTAACCTCTGGATTCCATTTAAGCTCATGTCGACTGCTTCAGTGACTCCATCCATCCACCTCATTCTCCGCCGTCCCCTTCTTCTTTTGCCCTCAATTCTTCCCAGCATTAGGCTCTTCTCCAGTAAGTCCTTCTCATTAGGTGGCCAAAGGATTTGAGTTTCCTGTTCAGGATCTGGCCTTCTAAAGAGCATTCAAGGTTGATCTCCTCTAGGACCGACTGGTTGGATCGCCTTGCAGTCCAAGGGACTCAATGCAGGAGTCTTCTCCAGCACCAGAGTTCAAAGGCCTCCATTCTTTGGCGCTTAGCCTTCCTTATGGTCCAACTTCCACAGCCGTCCATTGCAACTGGGAAAACCATAGTCTTGACTAGACGCACTTTTGTTGGC